AGGGGAGGATGGAAGTCCAGGAGATTCCTTGGGAAATCTTGTTTTTATTATCTATGTTCGATATATGACTGTAAAATTTTAATCTGAAAAACCAAATATATTTTAAAAAATAAATCACAAAAGCAGTTTACAACACATCAAATAAAAGAATCATAGAACTGTAGGGACCACGAGGGTCATCTAGTCCAACCTCCTGCGATGCAGGAAACTTTTTACGCAAGGCGCGTCTCGAACTCATGACTCTGAGATTTGAGGTCTCATGCTCGAATGAAACAATTCTGAATCAAACATGACTGAAGAGACTCAGATACGAAGTGTACATCTGAAGCAACATAATTTACATGAAATGAAAACATTACCTTAAAGATTTCAACATTACAAAGGAGGTAGATGTGATTGGGGTTCTAGTTCAGAAACAAAGTAGATCTGGCAAATCTTAAGTCTACCCACTCTACCTGCCTGCAGGCCTCTTTTTCGCAGGAATTGGTAGAGATCTGGTTTTCATTCAGAGGGATATGAAATTTGGAGGTGGCAAATCAACAATTAAAATATACATACATACATCATTTTGATTGTAGACCACCTTCCCATAGTTAAAACCATACTCGAGGTGGCTTATAACTTGGAAAAAAACCACATAATTACAAACTTAATTAAACTTAGGCCGGAAGAACCAGCTGCACAAATATAAGATGGGAGGTCACCAGGCTTGCCAGTACAGTGGTACCTCGGGTTAAGTACTTAATTAGTTCTGGAGGTCTGTTCTTAACCTGAAGCTGTTCTTAACCTGAAGCACCACTTTAGCTAATGGAGCCTCCTGCTGCCGCTGTGCCGCCGGAGCACGATTTCTGTTCTCATCCTGAAGCAAAGTTCTTAACCTGAAGCACTATTTCTGGGTTAGCGGAGTCTGTAACCTGAAGCGTATGTAACCCGAGGTACCACTGTAGTTCATGCGAAAAGGATCTAGGGGACTTAGTAGACCACAAGCTGAACATGAGTCAACAGTGTGATGCAGCAGCAAAAAAGGCTAATGCTAATCTAAGCTGTATCAACAGAAGTATTTTGTCCAGATCAAGGGAAGTAATAGTTCCACTCTATTCCACCTTGGTCAGACCACACCTGGAATAGTGGGCCCAGTTCTGGATGCCACAGCATAGCTGTCAACTTTTCCCTTTTCTTGCGAGGAATCCTATTTGGAATAAGGGAATTTCCCTTAAAAAAGGGAAGCGTTGACAACTGGGTGCCACAGTTTAAGGATATGGACAAGCTGGAATGTGTGCAGAGGAGGGTAGCTCAAATGATCAAGGGTCTAGAAACCAAGCCTGATGAGGAACGGTTGATGGAGTTGGGTATGTTTAGCTTGGAAAAGAGGAGACTTGAGAGGAGATATCTCTCCTCTCAGAGGAGTGTGTGTGTGAGAGAGTTTTGTTTTCTCCTGCTCTGAGGGTAGAACACGAACCAATGGCTTCAAGTTACAAGAAAGGAGAGTCTGAGAAAAGGTCAGGAAAAACTTTCAGACAGTAAGACATTTTTTTAAGGACTACAAACCATAACTTGAATAGTCTATACACAAATTTCCCAGAAGGAAGGTGCCTTAATAATTCTTCCTTTTTTCCATTTCCTTATAGCAGCTTCCTTTCTTTTCCACTTTAGTGGTTTGAGTCCCTTATAAATTTGTTGCCTGTCCTCTATCTCTTTGCGCAGGCATAGGCAAACTCAGCCCTCCAGATGTTTTGAGACTATAATTCCCATCATCCCTGACCATTGGCCCTGTTAGCTAGGGATGATGGGAGTTGTAGTCCCAAAACATCTGGAGGGCCGAGTTTGCCAAGGCCTGTCTTTGCGGTTCAACTCATCTATTACATTTAAATAATCTGTTTTCAATTATTTATCAATACAATAGGAGAACAAATTCCCTTTCTGTGAAATTAGTCTAGGCACAGCCAAGTGTTCTTGTTGGAACCATATTTAATCCGGTAATTTTTGAAGCAGTCCCATTCTTTTTCTAACCTTATCTCTTATTAACTCTGACATTTTGGCGAGTTCAATGAACTCGCACAACTTTGACTGCCATTCTTCTCTTGTTGGTGTTAACTCATTTCCCCCCAATATTTTGACATTAAGATTCTGGTTGCTGTTACTGCATAAAGAAACACGCTTTTATTTATTTATTTATTTTTACCAACAACCAAAACACAAACAGTGAAACCCCCCCCAGGCGGCTGATACATTGGTTATAAAGGGACCCCTGACCATTAGGTCCAGTCGTGGCCGACTCTGGGGTTGCCGCGCTCATCTCGCTTTATTGGCCGAGGGAGCGGCGTACAGCTTCTGGCGAACCAGAGCAGCGCAGAGAAGCCGCTTCTGGCGAACCAGAGCAGCGCACGGAAACACCGTTTACCTTCCCGCCGGAGTGGTTCCTATTTATCTACTTGCACTTTGACGTGCTTTGAAACTGCTAGGTTGGCAGGAGCAGGGACCGAGCAATGGGAGCTCACCCCATTGCGGGGATTCGAACCTCTGACCTTCTGATCGGCAAGTCGTAGGCTCTGTGGTTTAACCCACAGCACCACAGCGCCCTTAACATTGGTTATACATAATCAATAATAACATATTCAAATCAACCATATGTACAATTTTATATACGTGAACACTCCTCCATCCACTAGGTTTATTTAACATTTTAACATTTTAATTTCCCCAAATTGTTCAAACCTACCCAAATAATTCAATATCTTCTCAAACCAATCCTTCTCTTTCTCACTGACCTTAAACCCTTTCATTCTGTGTATCTTCACACTTTTATTTTTGTTTGGAATGCTTATTTTTAAGACCTTCTCCTTCTATCCTGAAGAATCTGTATCTGAAGAAGTGTGCATGCACACGAAAGCTCATGCCAATAACAAACTTAGTTGGTCTCTAAGGTGCTACTCTAAGGTGTGAAAGGCTGGGCTGGATGAATCCCAAGCCAGAATTAAGATTGCCGGAAGAAATATCAACAACCTCAGATATGCAGATGACACAACCTTGACGACAGAAAGTGAGGAGGAATTAAAGACCCTTTTAATGAGGGTGAAAGAGGAGAGCGCAAAATATGGTCTGAAGCTCAACATCAAAAAAACGAAGATCGTGGCCACTGGTCCCATCACCTCCTGGCAAATAGAAGGGGAAGAAATTGAGGCAGTGAGAGATTTTACTTTCTTGGGTTCCATGATCACTGCAGATGGTGACAGCAGTCTCAAAATTAAAAGACGCCTGCTTCTTGGGAGAAAAGCAATGACAAACCTAGACAGCATCTTAAAAAGCAGAGATATCACCTTGCCAACAAAGGTCCGTATAGTTAAAGTTATGGTTTTCCCAGCAGCGATAAACCCAGTGAAAGCTGGACCATAATGAAGACTGATCGCCGAAGAATTGATGCTTTTGAATTATGGTGCTGGAGGAGACTCTTGAGAGTCCCATGGACTGCAAAAAGATCAAACCTAGCCATTCTGCAGGAAATCAGCCCTGAGCGCTCACTGGAAGGACAGATCCTGAAGCTGAGGCTCCAATACTTTGGCCCCCTCATGAGAAGAGAAGACTCCCTGGAAAAGACCCTGATGTTGGGAAAGATGGAGGGCACAAGGAGAAGGGGACGACAGAGGACTAGATGGTTGGACAGTGTTCTCGAAGCTGCTAACATGAGTTTGACTAAACTGCGGGAGGCAGTGGAAGACAGAAGTGCCTGGCATGCTCTGGTCCATGGGGTGACGAAGAGTCGGACACGACTAAACGACTAAACAACAAATGTCTAAAGTATAATACAAAAAATTATTAAATAATTATAGACATTTATAGAATGTATATATAGTAATCACGCTTAAGTAAGAGCAATGTAGAGAAGCCAGAAGAGGGGTGGAGGGAAGTTAATTCAGATAAGATATAGATTGAAAGTCGGACACGACTAAACAACAACAAAGGTGCTACTGGAAGGAATTTTTAAAATTTTGTTCCTTCTATCCAGATCATAGCTGTCAACTGTCCCTTATTTGGCGGGACAGTCCCTTATCCCAGCGCCGTTTCTCGCTGCTGTCCCTTATTGATGATGTCCCTTGAATTTCCCGGGTTTCATGCTCGCCCGGCTCAGGAGGGAAGCAGTGGCTCAGGGTCCTCCGCCGCGCGAGAGAGCGAGCGAACGAGCTGCTGCGTCTCCGTCTCTCCCTTTCCCCCCTCAGGGGCGCGTCGTGAGGGTGGCGGTGGGTGGGCAGGCAGCGCCTCTCTTGCAAGACTTCTGCTGCACTGCCAGGGGAAGCCGGAGGCGGCAGCGGCGGTGGCAGCAGCGGCGGCTGCGGCTGAGGAGGTGGCCTGAGGGAGGAAGAGGAGGGGATGGGGAGGGACGCAGAAGGGCAGTGCTTCAGCGGCCGCCGCGGCACCGCAACCGCCTCATGCCGGGCTCGTGGGCGGCGTGGGTGAGAGTCTCTCTTCTTCCCTGCCTCTCTCTCTCTCTCGGGCGGGGAAGGGCCGATGGAACTCCTCGCGCCAGGAGGACGGCAGCCCCAACTGCTGCTTAGCATAGCCTCCAACCAGTGCAGCATCTTAATGTAGTGATTTCCCCTTCTGCATCCCCACCCATAGTTCAAATTTTTACTACAAGTTTTCTGTCAATCCTACCAATGTCTGTAACTCTTTACAATAGCTTTTCAACTAAATTATAAACTTTCCCCATTCTTTATTAAAGAGGTCCTCTTCCTGGTTTCTAATTCTGCCTGTAAGCTTTGCCAGCTCGACGTCGTTCATCAGTTTTGTCTGCCACTCTTCTTTGCTCGGAGTTGTAGATCCTTAGGATTATCTAATCCAACCCCCTGCAAAACACAGTCAGTGGCAACAAAAGCAGCCTGGCTCCATCAGTGCCGGATTTATGTATAAGTTAAGCAAAATCCCTTATTTTGCCTGGTGATCCCTTATTTTCGAGGCTGCTGGTCCCTTATTTTCAAATCTGTAACTTGACAGCTATGATCCAGATGAGCTTCATCGTAGGGAGGATTTTAATCGAGAACCGGAAGTGTTCAGGCGTGGGAAAGTCTCTGCGCTCCCTTACCTCTAGGGGTTTCTTCCTTTGCGATCTGCCCAGCAGATCTCCGGATCTCCGGCCCGTCGGTTGCTTTTGCCTCCCCGGAGGAAAGGGAAGGATCTGCGCCAGCGAGGGCTCCGGGCAGCCGGTAGGAAACGGAGTTGCCTTGACCCCAAAGTGCGTTCCCACGCGAGAGGGAGCCTCAAAGTTCTGCGCGCTTTTGCGCGCTTGGTGCGGAGTGGCCCGTCGCGCGCCCGCGTCGGAAACCGGGTGGGTTTGTAGCAGCGCAACACGCGTGTCTTGGGAATTCAACTTGTGGCTCCCCGTGGGGACTCGGCTCCGCCATCTTGCTCTCCATCCCGTTATGATCACAGGGCGAGAGTGCCCCTGAGCAGGTGCAGAGCGTTCAGGGCCGGACTGAGACCTTTGGAGGCCTTAAAAGATTTGGGTGCGCCCATATAATGGGTGTAGCCAAGGTGGGAGAAGGGAGGCACAGCTGTCCCCCCCCCCCAAATCAGTACAAATACAGTGGTACCTCGGGTTACATACGCTTCAGGTTACAGACTCCGCTAACCCAGAAACAGTACCTCGGGTTAAGAACTTTGCTTCAGGATGAGAACAGAAATCGTGCTCCGGCGGCCCGGCAGCAGCAGCGGGAGGCCCCATTAGCTAAAGTGGTGCTTCAGGTTAAGAACAGTTTCAGGTTCAGAACGGACCTCCGGAACGAATTAAGTACCTTTACTTAACCCGAGGTACCACTGTACATAGCTATTGTATTTTAGTGTTTTGTTGTAAGCCGCCCAGAGTGGCTGGGGAGACCCAGCCAGATGGGCGGGGTATAAATTATTATTATTATTATTACTGAGATTCTGTTCTCCCCCAACAAAAGGCCTGCGCTCCCCTAACAAAAATCCTGGCAACGCCCATGGGTCATATGCTGTGTATCCAATTCAGAATATAAACAATAATAAACTGTAAAATGAAATTTTATTTTGGGAAATGAAATGAAACCTGCAGTAAGATGGAAAATAAAGTTGATATTTGACTCCCCCCCTCCTTTTTCCAATTGCAAAGCCTTTGATGGGAGCCTCAAAATTAACCACACCAGGTAACATCAGAGGGAAAATTGACATAAGTGAAGCCCACTCCATTGACTCAGCTGAAGCCCTTTGGCTTCTCCCTTCCCAGGCCTATCTCCTTGCAGCGACTCTCTCTCCTACCCATAATGCAGCAGTACAAAAGGTCTGGTACCCGAAGATGCTCATTTCCCAGTTGTTTCATGCCTGTAATCCATTTATAAACACACAACCAGTGTGGTGTAGTGGCTGGAGAGCTGGACTAGGAGCCGAGAGACCAGGGCTGACAAAAAGACAGCACATAAATGTAGCCTATGCAGCGCAGATAACTCTGTAACCATGTCCATCCCCTAAGACTCTTGGCAAATGTCTTCTGCTTCGTTGGCAGTTGTACATTTTCTGCCAGTTTCTGCAAAGAACGACATGCAGCCCTGAAAAAAACAACAACAGTGATTTCAGGCAAGGCCAAAGGGCAGGCTTTTATCCGGTACTCATCATGCCGCTCCGATGAGGCCAGTCGTTCAGTGCTGCTGAACTTTGAACCTCATTCTTGAGGTCAGCTGCAGTTTGCAACTCAAGCTGGGCTAATTGGACGCTGTTGGCGCTTTGCTGGAAACCAGCAAAAATCAACTGTTAGAACCCAAAACCAAGATTTTGTCAAAGATGTATAACTTGCTGTTGAAATGGAATACTCAGGATGAAACGGTGAAATCTGCTATGATTAAATGGGCACAAGATGTTGGACATAACATAATGATGGCTGACTGGGAACAGTTATGGACCACAGGTATGAAGTTTACGGTATGTAATGCCTTAAGAGAGAATATTATGAAAATGATATACAGGTGGTACATGACACCAGTCAAGCTTGCAAAAATCTATCATTTGCCCGACAATAAATGCTGGAAATGTAAAGAAACTGAAGGTACATTCTTTCACCTTTGGTGGACATGCCCAAGGATTAAGGCTTTCTGGGAGATTATCTATAATGAAATGAAAAAGGTATATAAATATACCTTCCTGAAGAAACCAGAGGCCTTTCTCCTGGGCATGGTAGGCCAATTGGTGCCAAAGAAGGACAGAACTTTCTTTATGTATGCTACAACAGCAGCAAGAATACTTATCGCAAAGTATTGGAAGACATAAGATTTACCCACCCTGGAAGAATGGCAGATGAAGGTTATGGACTATATGGAACTGGCGGAAATGACTGGCAGAATCCGAGACTAGGGAGAAGAGTCGGTGGAAGAAGATTGGAAGAAATTTAAAGACTATCTACAGAAATACTGCAAAGTCATGAGTGTTGGATTAGTGTAGCTGGCAATTTTCAGTAAAAGTCATGGACCCTCTTTCTCCAAATTTGAAAAAATTCCTTCCACCACCTCCAGTTTGCTATAAATGGGGACTTTTGCCGATGCACCCCATGAATAATTTTGGTTCAGCCTGTGCCAAATATTTAAAGGATCTCCTACTCCCTTCCCATCAAAGAGCTTTTATGCTTGCGAGACTAAATGCTTTCGTCTCTGCAGTGACCAAAGGCAGAGTCCAGTGCTGGATTTACATATACAGTGGTACCTCGGGTTTACATACGCTTCAGGTTACAGACTCCGCTAACCCAGAAATAGTACCTCAGGTTAAGAACTTTGCTTCAGGATGAGAACAGAAATCGTGCTCCGGCGGCGCGGCAGCAGCAGGAGGCCCCATTAGCTAAAGTGGTGCTTCAGGTTAAGAACAGTTTCAGGTTAAGAACGTACCTCCGTTACGAATTAAGTACTTAACCTGAGGTACCACTGTAAGCTAAACAAGCTATAGCTTAGGGCCCCACTCTCTTGGGGGGCCCCCGAAAATTTAAAGGGAAACAAAACTGATGTAAGCTATGGGCCCTGCCTGCTAGCCTGATCCCTAAAATATCACTGGTTTGCTCATTTCTACTTCTTAATTGTATTTCAGTTCAACAATTACTTTGATAAAATAGATATTGTGTTGTATCCAAATGGCTTTAGATACCAATTAGGTCCATAAATGAGCAAATAGCATATACTGTATTTTTCGCTCCATAAGATGCACTTTTTTCCTCCTAAAAAGTAAGGGGAAATGTCAGTGTGTCTTATGGAGCGAATGCGTGGTCCCTGGAGCCGAATTGTCCAGGGGCGAAAAGAAGATCGTGCTTTTTTTTTTAGAAAGAGGGAAGGGGGTGTTGAAACAAAGCCGCTGATCAGCTGATCAGCAAGCGATCGGGAGGGGAGATAAGGGACTCTAGCGATAAAGGAGGTTACCTGGTAGGGGGGAGGTAAAAGCACTTGGATCCGCAGGATTTTTGCATTGGGTCACCCCAAATTATCCATCAGATCACATAGCATGTCCATGGCTACAGCCTGCACCAAAAAAATCACGCATCCACTGTTTCGTGGGGCTGCAGTGGTGCAAAAAACATGGTTACAAAGCACAGATCCACATGGATCCTCAGGATTTTTGCATCGGGCTATCCCAAACTCACCGTCAAATCACATATCATGTCTGTGGCCACAGCATGAACCACAAAAATCATACATCCAATGTTTCGTTCAGAATATTTTTTTTCTTGTTTTCCTCCTCTAAAATCTAGGTGCGTCTTATGGTCGGTTGCGTCTTATGGAGCAAAAAATACAGTGTTCAACACAAAAAACAGCGACCATTTGTTGACAAAGGACAGCTGGACATATAAGGGCCCTGTTACCTTCAGTAGCTTAGGGCCTCATCAAACCTAAATCTGGCCCTGGCAGATTCTCACACATTCCATTCAAGCCTGTTTGTGTGCCTGCAATCGAGAAGTACCAGATTCAATGGACCACATTCTCTTAGATTGCCCTTTGCACAGCAGACCTCGCCAACTGATGCTGAGCAAAATGTTGGACCTCCGGCCCACAGCTCTGAGAAGAAGCCAAAGAAGGTTTCTCCTGGCAGATCAGGACGAAGATATTACTGCTTTAGTAGCTTCCTTTTTAGCCACAGTCTTACCCGATATGGTTCCCAATGAACTATCCTTTTGGGAAATAGACAGGGTATAGCACAGGCATAGGCAAACTCGGCCCTCCAGATGTTTTGGGACTACAACTCCCATCATCCTTGACCACTGGTCCTGTTAGCTAGGGATGATGGGAGTTGTAGTCCCAAAACATCTGGAGGGCTGAGTTTTCCTGTACCTGGATATCCAAATGCACACAACCATAGTGTGACCTTTTAACCCTTGATAGCTTCACCCTTGTCTTTTTAATCATTCCAGTTAATTGAAATGTTTTATGCTGTGGTGCCAATAAAGGTATTTGATTGATTGATTGATTGATTGATTGATTGATTGTTTTTGGTTCAGGATTGCAAAATCTGGTTTCTTTCTGGTTGCTAGAGATACCGGTCACAGGAAGGCAAAAGTTATGAGATGTATCCATAGTCCGAAGATCCTCAGGTCTGAAGATAATTTGCTGTAATTGTTTTGTGTGTTGCAGGGGCCAAGAACAGAAACATGAGGTATGTCAGCACGCGAGGAGGAGCCGGAAGTGTGGATTTTGAAGGTGCTCTTTTATCAGGCTATGCAAGTGATGGTGGTCTTTTCATGCCTCAAAAAATCCCAGCTTTAGACTCTGCCACACTTCGAAAATGGAGCAGCTTCTCTTACCCAGAACTGGTGAAGCAATTGTGCTCTCTCTTCATTTCGCCTGAGCTTATTCCGGAAGCGGAACTAAATGGTAAATGAATCCAGATCAGCTATTGAGATTTGACAGCCTTCAAAACTATGTTAGATTTATTTCATGGGAAAATGTTATTTGCTCCCTTTCGTATAATGTAATTAATTTCGGGTGACTCGACAGCAGCGGTAGATGTGCTGGTACTATTGATTATTCTTATTGTGTTTTATTCAACTTTATCTCCCCCCCCCAATTTTTTTTTTCCATTTTATAACACAAATAAAAAACACAAACAGAAAAGACAAACAATACAAACAAATTCTTGTCATATCCTTATTTTTCTAAACATTGTTAAGTGGGATTCCCCAAGTCCCACCTACCTGATTTCCATTTTACTTCATCTTTAGCAGTTTACATATATCATAATTTCTAACCATCTTTTTTTTTTAAAAAATCACACTTAAAATAACTTCACATTTTATCACTTACAAATAATACTATTTTAAAATACCCTATCTTCTACTTCTAACCCTACAACCTATATCCACTTCCAAAATTTTCTAAGATTTAAATATTAACCTATTTTTCCAAATATTCCTTAAACTTCTTCCAGTCTTCTTCCACCGTCTCTTCTCTCCCGATCAGTTCGGCAAGTTCCATATACTTGTGTTTTATTCAACTTTATCAGTGTGCATTGTGCAACAAAATCCTGGGCAGTTTGAAATTTCAGCGAGAGGGTGCTAAAGTTCGTTTAAACTGGAAATACAGTCAAACCTTGACTCCCCAATGCCTCCGTTACCGTACGTTCTGGCTCCCGAAAACGACGAAAACCCGGAAGTAAGGGTTCCAGTTTTCGAACGTTTTTCGGAAGCCGAACGTCCGATGTGGCTTCCGTTTGAGTGCAGGAAGCTCCTGCAGCCAGTCGGAAGCCACGCCTCGGTTGTCGAACATTTCGGAAGCCGGAAGGGCTTCCGGAATGGATTAAGTTCGACAACCGAGGTTTGACTGTAGCAGTCGTGGGTGAGGATCAAGATCAAGACTGCAATAAGCAGCAGCCAGGGGGCGGAGTTAACCCTTTCCTTCTGTGCTGCGTTCCCAACAAAACCTCTATCGCAGGCATAGGCAAACTCGGCCCCCCACATGTTTGGGGACTACAACTCCCATCATCCCTGACCACTGGTCCTGTTGGCTGGGATGATGTGAGTTGTAGTCCCAAAACATCTGGAGGGCCGAGTTTGCCTATGCCTGTTCTATTGGCACCAGCAGGAAAGAATATCTCTGACCAGCCAAATAGTATTGGGGATTGGGATGCAAGACCCCAGTTGAGCTTCAGACCATATTGGGCGGCTCCCAATCAAGTGTTAAAAACAATACAGCATTAAATATTAAAAGCTTCGCTAAACAAGGCTGCCTTCAGGTGTCTTTTAAAGATAAGATAGCTGCTTATTTCCTTCACATCTGAAGGGAGGGTGTTCCACAGGGCAGGTGCCACCACCAAGAAGGCCCTCTGCCTGGTTCCTTGTAACCTCACTTCTCGCAATGAGGGAACCACCAGAAGGCCCTCGGCGCCGGACCTCAGTGTCCGGGCTGAACGATGGGGGTGGAGACGCTCCTTCAGGTATACAGAACTGAGGCCGTTTAGGGCTTTAAAGGTCAGCACCAACACTTTGAATTGTGCTTGGAAACATACTGGGAGCCAATGCAGATCTCTCAGGACTGGTGTTATGTGGTCCTGGCGGCCACTCCCGGTCACCAGTCTAGCTGCCGCATTCTGGATTAATTGCAGTTACCGGGTGACCTTCAAAGGTAGCCCCACGTAGAGCGCATTGCAGTAGTCCAAGCGGGAGATAACTAGAGCATGCACCACTCTGGTGAGACAGTCCGTGGGCAGGTAGTGTCTCAGCCTGTGAGCAGGTGGAGCTGGTAGACAGCTGCCCTGGACACAGAATTGACCTGCGCCTCCATGGACAGCTGTGAGTCCAAAATGACTCCCAGGATGCGCACCTGGTCCTTCAGGGGCACAGTTACCTCATTCAGGACCAGGGAGTCCTCCACACCCGCCCGCCCCCTTCCCCCCAAAACAGTACTTCTGTCTTGTCAGGGTTCAACCTCAATCCATTAGCCGCCATCCATCCTCCAACTGCCTCCAGACACTCACACAGGACCTTCCCTGCCTTCACTGGTTCTGATTTAGAGGTAGAGCTGGGTGTCATCTGCATACTGATGAACACCCAGCCCAAACCTCCTGATGATCTCTCCCAGCAGCTTCATATAGATATTAAAAAGCATGGGGGAGAGGATGGAGGCACCCCACAAGTGAGAGCCCAGGGGTCTGAACACTCATTCCCCACCACCACATTCTCGACACATCCCAGGAGGAAGGAGCGGAACCACCGTATAACAGTGCCCCCAACTCCTCTAGACTGGATGAGCCAGGGTTCTGCTCACTACACCTCTTTTGTCTGACCACAAAGATTAGCCCAAATTTGTGGACCACTGGCATTGTATTTCCCCTAATTAAATATTGTTGCCTTTATTCTGGAGTGCAGCATTACTGAGGTAAAACTTGACTTGACCCTCATGTTAATATATCTGAAGGGCCAATATATTGCTGTGCCATTTTTAAAAATTTTCCCCCATGGTAAATCTTTATTGGTTTAAAATACAGACACAAATGATCATGAAGGTAAGTATAAGAGAATTGAATACAAAAACACACACATGAAGACATAAGAACAAGAAAAAAGAAGATAAAAAGATAAAAAAGAAAAGAAAAAGAACCCAAAATTTATGCCAAATCATAACCATCAATTTATGCATAAAACTTCCAATCGTTCTCATTATACTGTTTATATAATCATAATTTTATCACACAGCTTTACATTATATCCTTTTTCATGTATCCCACTAAAGTATTCGTTTCATTCATTTTTGCTTACAGGTATCATTCCAGTTCTGCTAAGATGGTATTATTTGTACAATATAATCTTATATATTCCTTAAATATATATTCCATATATATTCTGATTTCAAGCTCCTCTGACTTTTTGCTAGTTGGAAACATTCTATCATGAGCGTCTGCCATTCAATTATCGTTGGTATTGTTTCGCCATATTTTCTTTCATGGTTCCAAGCTAACGATGTCTTTTGACTTGTCGTCTTCCGCTAGACCTGATTGACAGAGCATTCAGCAGGTTCAGGCACAAAGATATTGTTCACCTGTCAAGACTGGAGAAGGGCTTGAATGTTCTGGAGTTGTGGCACGGCGTAACGTACGCTTTCAAGGACTTGTCGTTATCCTGCACGGGGCAGTTCCTGCAATATTTCCTGAAGAAGAAGAAGAAGAAGCATGTCACAATTCTAGTGGGTATGTTTGCAGCTAGGACTAATGGATTTCTGCTCGTTTTTTAATAATGTGCTGCCTTTGCTCAAAATCCATTTATTACTTCTTTTCCCCTAGCCTCAACGTATTTGCATTTGCATTTAGGCCGCTTCTCGTGTGTTCTATAACTCACTGCCACGGGCTGCATATTTTGGGCACCTTGACAGAGTAGAGAGTAAGAAACAGGGAAGATAAAAATCAATGATTTTTAAAAAATAAAATAAAATCTGAATTTCTTATTTAAATCAGATTTTCCCCACTCCTCCTTAAAATTTCTGTCTTCCTGATTTCTGATTCTTCCTGTCATTTTTGCCATTTTGGCATAATCCATCAACTTGATCTGCCTTTCTTCTGTGGTTGGGACTTTATCGGCCATGGCCATAAATTTGGCTGCCTTTAAAAGACGATTAAATAAGTTCATGGAGGATAGGGCAGTCCTTGGCTACTAGCCACAAAGCTCCACTGTCAGAGCTTTGGATCCCAGTTGGTTGGAATCACAAGTGGAGAGATTGCTGTTACTCTCGGGTTCCTGCTGGCAGCCTTTCCATAGGCCATTGTGAGAACAGGATACCGGACTGGATGGAATCTTCTGATGCTCAGGGTAGTGGGAATGAATGAATGAATTTTTATTTGCGTCAGCCGTCGGCCATAGCAATAAAACAACAATACAATATACAAAGAATAGAAATAAAAAAGTCAATTATATAAAATACATTTTAGGGTTTTGAATCAATAGCCAATCTTATTCTGATTGCCCCAGCTAAAAACCTTGCAGCCTGTTATGTACTGAAGTTCTCACCCTGGGCCAGCAGGGGGATACTGTAGATAGTTTTCACTCAGGTCCACATATGCAAATAGGGGATTGAAAGTGACGTTCAGTGATTGGCTAGTTACAGAAAGTTGCTACTGTTGCGTTGTAGTGGAGTTCTATATAAGCAGGCTGGCTGAACCCTTCAGTTCAGTTCTGTTCTGGCCTGTGAATAAACAAGAGCTGTTTGCTGTCACCTGCTCATCTTGATCTGCCAAGAGAAAGGACACTGTGGCAGTGTCTGGGCGATGCAGAATGAACAATAAAAGAGGGGTGATAACCTCATTCCTCAAGCCTTTATAAAGAGTACTGCCATATCCACGGGGACATAAATGTTTTTCGTGTGGAATCTGTTGGAATCGTCCCTCAAGTACAGCCGAGGGCAATACATTCAATCTTGCGAGAGTAAAAACGCGTCTATATTTTAGAATTGCTAGGTTATGCAGATAGGGTGCCAGAGAGTCGAAATGGGTAGGTGGGAAATTGTCATACCATGGGAGTGGGAACCTAAAAGTGGATCAGCGTTATTGATGGAGTTTCCTGGGAGTCAATTGCTTAGCCTGGAGTGCGCCTTCTTTCCCTCTGACCTTGCAGACTCCCAGCAAGTCTTTAACAGTCTTGGTTATTTTTTTTAAACAGGGACTTCAGGGGATACTGGGAGTTCAGCCATCGAAAGTGTCCGGGGTGAAAAGAACGTGGACATATTTGTTCTGCTTCCACGCGGCCTCTGCAGTCAGGTGCAAGAGCGGCAGATGACGACAGTGATTGAAGACAACGTCCACGTGTTTATCAGTGAGCGACTCCATTTTTAACTTCAGAATGCTTCTGGGTTCGGTCATTGTGGATTTGTTGCCTAGTGGTCGGAGTGGTCAGCAGTGCTTTTTTCTGGGGGTACGCATGCCCCTAAACATTTTGTGAATCTAAGTTTGGCCTCATTGTAGGGGCAGTATTTCAATATGGAGGATGCAGGTGGCGCTGTGGTCTAAACCACGGAGCTTAGGGCTTGCCAGTCAGAAGGTCGGTGGTTTGAATCCCCGCGACGGGGTGAGCTCCCGTTTCTTGGTCCCAGCTCCTGCCAACCTAGCAGTTCGAAAGCACGTCAAAGTGCAAGTACAGTGGTGCCTCGCAAGACGAAATTAATTCGTTCTGCGAGTTTTTTCGTCTTGCAAAGCACGGTTTCAATTTTTTCAAAAAAATCTTCAAAAACCTCAAAAAAGGCTACCACACCGCGTGCTATGAGTTGCTCCCCGAAGTCAAGTTGCAACTGTATTAACGGTTTTAAGAAAAAGGAAACAAACTTGCAAGACGTTTCCGTATTGCGAAGCAAGCCCATAGGGAAATTCGTCTCGCGAAGCAACTCAAAAAACCAAAAACTCTTTCGTCTTGCGAGTTTTTCGTCTTGCGAGGCATTCGTCTTGCGAGGTACCACTGTAGATAAATAGGTACCATTAGATAGTCCCAAACTATCACATCCTCTAAACGTGTGTGGTGGGAAGGGGAACAACCGAAACTTAGTGTTTTCTACTTTCAGTCTTCTCTTTTCCTTACCTGCAATGGGGTAGGATGTCTGAGCAATCCAACAGGGAGCTCATTCCATTTTGGACTATGGACTTTTGTAACTTTTAAGAATTATTACCTGCCTGATTTTCATCACTGTATTTGTTGAATCCTGGCAAGACTTTGCCAAGTGAGCAAACCTTGTATTTTTCTTGTTTACTTAAACAGTCTGAGAGTGATTTCATTGTTAAGAGGGAAACGTAAAAAGGGAGACAAAATCCCAGTTTGCCTAAGCACCTTGGATATCATGATTATTCTAGAAGGCTATGCACAGAGCTTTCTTTTCAGCCAGAACACACCAGAACTCAGTTCCAGCACCTCTCAGGTAGGCGCCATTGCCATTCTAAGAGAACAAGGGAGGCGTTCATGGTGAGTTCCGGCACCTCTTTCCCTAAAAAATAGGACTGGTTATGCAACATTGTACCAAATAGCTTCTGGAGATAAACTGCATAAGGATAGTGATTTCTCTCTCTGCTGAAATAGCTATTTGCATTCTCACACAAGTGGAAAGAGGAAGGATAATTAACAAATAAAATATCCTCTCCTAGTCATCTAAAACCATCCAACAAAGCCCGCAACATCTGAATGGCACCATGTTGGCTGCTCTCGGTGTAGACAGTACTGAACTCAATGGACCACTGCCAGTGTTGGGAAATCTGCAGTCAAAATCACAATTATGTTTGCTACATAAGTATATGAAGGGGTTAAGACTCACAGAGTTCCTGTATTCCTAGAGAAGACAGATCTGTGTGATGTTATACAGTCGTACCTAGGAAATCGAACGGAATCCGTTCCGGAAGTCCGTTTGACTTTCAAAACATTCAGAAAACAAAACACGGCTTCTGATTGGCTGCAGGAAGCTCCTGCAGCCAGTCAGAAACATTGAAAGCCCCATCGGACGTTCGGGTTCCAAAAGAATGTTCGCAAACCGGAACACTCATTTTAAGGTTTGCATCGTTTGGGAGCCAAAACGTCTGAGTTCCAGGGCGTTTGACAACCAAGGTACGACTGTATTCCCTACATCCTGTGCTGGGAAATAGGGCAAAGGATCTTAATCTTTTCTCCTTCCTCCTCGCCTCTATCTGTTTCTTCTTTTCAAGCCAGCAATGTGCTCAGATATAAATGCCTGGCCTCTGCTCAGAGTCCAGTAAAAAGCACGAAGTGTTTTTACTCTGCTAAAAGTCCTTCACAGCCTGATTACTCTCGTACTGTGGTACCTCTGGTTGCGAATGGGATCCGTTCGCAACATGAAAAGAGCGCAACCCGCAGCAGCGCATCTGCGCACGCACGGGTTGCGATTTGCCGCTTCTGCGCATGTGTGTGACATCATTTTGCATTTCTGCGCATGCGCGAGCGGCGAAACCCGGAAGTAACCCTTTTCGGTACTTCTGGGTCGCCATGGGACGTAACCTGAAAGAACGTAACATGAAACGGACATAACATGAGGTATGACTGCATTTCTCTCACATACACACATGGGACGGGAGGTTTAAATTTTAGTTTACGGATTTCATCCTCAACCGCTCACCATCAGCTGGCAGGTCCTTTTACAATCTTTGGTGCCCTGCTTTCTTCACAATCCCCTTCTCCTCTGGGCTGGCAATGGCGCAGTAGAGCGAGGCACACTTCTGTGACACGACTGAAGTAGCACCCTTCATGCCTGCCTCTTCCATCCCTGCTTCTCCCTCCAGCTGAAGGCAACAGTGATGAAATTGATGAGCCCATCAAAGAACTCTTTGCGGATGAGGATTTTTCAAGGAGACACAACCTGATGAGTCTGAATTCAATCAACTGGTCCAGAATTCTGGTGCAGATCGCTCATTTTTTCTATGCCTACTTCCGGTGTGCTCCATCTATGGGTGCTGCTCCGCTGCCAGTTGTGGAGGTGGTTGTTCCAACTGGGGGAGGAGGAAATCTCACAGGTTAGCAAAATCCAACAACACCAAAATGCTTCCTTGAGTCGTAATGAATTGTGCTGGACCTGTCTGAAAGTTGCATCGCTGGAGGTGGGAGGAGCTGTAAAACGAGCAGCACGTCAAAGACAGCTTTTTATTTTGCTGTTTCAGTGCAAACCTAGTACTCCTAAACAATCTGGCCATATTTCTGAGGTTTGCTGAATATTTCTCCTAGTTCATCGAGGCTCACTGAGCCGCAAGCATTGTCTCAGCCCCTATGTTTAATTGCCATTGCCCTTCACGGCCTAGGACCCTTGTACCTACGGGACCGCCTCTCCTGGTATGCCCCACGGAGAGCCTCAAGGTCCATAAATAGCAACACCCTAGAGGTCCGAGGCCCTAAGGACGTTAGATTAGCCTCAACCAGAGCCAGGGCCTTTTCAACACTGGCTCCGGCCTGGTGGAACACTCTGCCTCATGAGACCAGGGCCCTGCAGGATCTGATTTCTTTCCACAGGGCCTGTAAGACAGAGTTGTTCCACCTGGCCTTTGGCTTAGAATTACTTTGATTCCCTCCCCCTCTTTCTTTTTCCTTTTTCCTTTCTCCTCCTGTGATGAGGCTGCATTTTAATATTTTAATGTTTCAATATTTTAATGTTGTATTTTAATCTTGTTTTTAAGTTGTATTCATTCAACTTGTTTTTATTATTGCTTGTTAGCCGCCCTGAGCCCGGCCTTGGCTGGGGAGGGCGGGGTATAAATAAATACTATTATTATTATAGACCCTGGGATTGGGCACCTGGAATACAGCCAGTTTATGTAACCAGAACAACTAAATTCTGCAACCTGCATAAATTACATAAGCAGAGTGGAGTGCAGGCTTTACATATTTCTGCAGTTTTGCTCTTTTGCATAATTTGGCCGGCTTTCATTACTCATGGGGGACAGACAAGGAACCATGCAAAACATATAACCATAAAACATAGCAATTAAATTAACAGTAAAATGCCAGCAACTTCCAATATCACCAATCACAACTGTATTCAGTATTGACAATCAGATCAACTAGAATAGTTGAAATGATTTCGGAACCATATTGTGCAGCTGCTTTATGTAAGGAGATCTGTGGTACAAATTACTGATGGTTTGTTTCTTTGGTCCAGCTGGATGTCTTGCACAGAAGATGGGGCTCCCCATTGATCTTGTGGCAGTGGTAAATGACAACGATGTGGTACACAGAGCTATCCAACAGGGTGATTTCTCATTGTCCAGGTCTGTGAAGTCAACACTGGCTTCAGCAATGGATATTCAGGTAATTTAGCTGGAGAGGAACGTGCTGTTTAGTATGGTAGAAATGTGAGGACCAGCTCAACCTCTCTTTCAAATCAGAACCAGTGATTGTCCTGTGTGAGTGTCTGGAGGTGGTTGGAGGATGGATGGTGGCTAACAGATTGAGGTTGAATCCTGACAAGACAGAAGTACTGTTTTGCGGGGACAGGAGGCAGGCAGGTGTGGAGGACTCCCTGGCCCTGAATGGGGTAACTGTGCCCCTGAAGGACCAGGTGCGCAGCCTGGGAGTCATTTTGGACTCACAGCTGTCCATGGAGGCGCAGGTCAATTCTGTGTCCAGGGCAGCTGTCTACCAGCTCCATCTGGTACGCAGGCTGAGACCCTATCTGCCCGCAGACTGCCTCACCAGAGTGGTGCATCCTCTGGTTATCTCCTGCTTGGACTACTGCAATGCGCTCTACGTGGGGCTACCTTTGAAGGTGACCCAGAAACTACAACTAATCCAGAATGCGGCAGCTAGACTGGTGACTGGGAGCGGCTGCCGAGACCACATAACACCGGTCTTGAAAGACCTACAATTGGCTCCCAGTACGTTTCCGAGCATAATTCAAAGTGTTGGTGCTGACCGTTAAAGCCCTAAACGGCCTCGGTCCAGTATACCTGAAGGAGCGTCTCCACCCCCATCATTCTACCCGGACACTGAGGTCCAACGCCGAGGGCCTTCTGGCGGTTCCCTCCCTGCGAGAAGCCAAGTTACAGAGAACCAGGCAGAGGGCCTTCTCAGTAGTGGCACCCGCCCTGTGGAACGCCCTCCCACCAGATGTCAAAGAGAACAACAACTACCAGACTTTTAGAAGACATCTGAAGGCAGCCCTGTTTAGGGAAGCTTTTAATGTTTGATGCATTACTGTATTTTAATATTTTGTTGGAAGCCGCCCAGAGTGGCTGGGGAAGCCCAGCCAGATGGGTGGGGTATAAATAATAAATTATTATTATTATTATTATTATTATTATTATTATTATTATAGCTCCCTCCCCCAGTCATGCTCACTCCATTGATGGACCATTCCATCAGCCTTGCTGGGACATCGGCTCCCTCAGCCTCCTCTCTCCCCCAGTTGTCAATCATCATCAGCTATTCTATCAGGCTGACGCAGAGGGAGAAATGGGCTACATATGGCTTCCATTCCAGCTGGCTTTTTGCAGGAACTTCTGGGCAAGAACTGGTGCCTGAGTTTGCCTGCCAGTTTGACAGCCAATTTCCTCCCTTTCTCAAGGGAAAAGGTAGTGAGGGAAACACAGAGAGTCAGTTTGGGGAAGTCTGTTGGGATGTTCTTCCTGGATGAAGCCCTGGTTGGTGAAGGAACTCCTTGCAGAGTGACTTAGCTGCCTCAAGATCCTAAGACCGTTCCCTTGAACTATATAGAGAAGGGATGGAGAAACCGTGGCTTTCCGGGTGGTGTTGGACTCCAACTCCCATCAGCCATATCCAGAGGTCAGGGATTATGGGAACTGTAGTCCTGAAAAATCTGATATCTCTCCCTGATTTAGAGCCATACCATAGCCCTTTGGGCTTTCTGGAACGTGAAACAATTTATTTAAGGTAGATAAAGACAAGATGAAATTATACAATTGAATATAAATATAGATGGGAAACGGCTATGTATTGTGAGTACTTATCTACTTTTAAAATTTTTCACTTATGATCTTTTTCTTTTACTTCTTTATTCTTTCTTTGTTCTTTTTTTCTTTTTTCTGATATCTTATCTTTCATTTCACTGCTTTATTGTGAATAGCATTTTATAAAGGTATAAATAACTGTAAATATGAAAAGAGACAAAATATTCTCTAATTCTTTTTCCTTGGTTAGATGTATTTTCTTTTTCTTTTGTATTTTCTTTTTCTTTTGTATTTTCTTTTGTTGTGAATATGTATGTTTTCTAATTTGTGCTTAATAAAAATTATTATTATTTTTTAAAAAAATAGATTTGTTGATGGGTGCCTTTTTCCTGTAATCCATTTCCTTTGGCTCCAGCATAATCTTTGCCATATCTAAATGCTTGCTTGCTTCTGAAGATAAACCTCCTTCTAGAAAACGGCCTGTGCCATCTTTTCCTTTGCTAGGAACCTTACAACATGGAAAGGATCTTTTGGCTGTTCTCCGGCTCAGACAGCAACTTGGTCCGAAGTTTGATGGAAGAATTTTACTCTGCTAAAAAAGTCCAGCTCCCGTCCCAGTTGCAAAAGAAGGTTAGCTATGATTTGCCTATGATTCTTCAGCTTGCTTTTAGTTTGAAGGCTCTCTTTCAGGAGCGGCTGCCGTGCAACGGGCCTCACGTCAGAAGCATCGCTTCCTGGAAGGGAGAGGAGAGGTATTGGTGGGGAGATCAATGCAATGCTTAGGGATGGCAGGATGCAGCTGTGCCGATCAACCAGTTGCGATGTTCACTGCACAGGTGATGTCTACAGTTTCTCTGGTGGAATCTAGGTAAAGGTAAAGGGACCCCTGAACATTAGGTCCAGTCGTGACCAACTCTGGGGTTGTGGCGCTCATCTCGCTTTATTGGCCAAGGGAGCCGGCGCACAGCTTCTGGGTCATGTGGCCAGCATGACTAAGCCGCTTTCTGGAGAACCAGAGCAGCGCACGGAAGTGCTGTTTACCTTCCCACCGGAGCGGTACCTACCGTATTTTTCGCTCTATAACATGCACCCGACCATAACACGCACCTAGTTTTTAGAGGAGGAAAACAAGAAAAAAAATATTCTTAACACAGTGGGTGTATGATTTTTGTGGTTCATGCTGTGGCCACAGACATGTGATCTGACAGTGAGTTTGGAGTAGCCCAATGCAAAAATCCTGAGGATCCATGTGGATCCATGCTTTGTAACCACGTTTTAAGTGGGGAGGGAAGGAAAAGCACTCAAGGGACAAGGAGCATGCGTGGGGTGGGTGGAGAAGGATGCTGCTAATAATGCAGAAGAGGGGTTTAAGGGGAGAAGGAACACGCGTGGGGTGGGTGGAGAAGGATGCTGCTAATAATGAAGAAGAGGGGTATAAGGGGAGAAGGCTCCTCTCCTCTCCCACTTTGCTCCTTTAAAGCAAGCAGGCTCTGCTTTTCTTCCTCCTCCCCGCTCATCCCCGGCTTAGCGAGCTGAAAAACTTTGCTGCTATGTAGCGAGCTGAGTGGGGAGGAGAGAGGGACAGAGAGCCTGCTTGCTTTAAAGGAACCAACCGCTTTGCTCCTTTAAAGAAGCAGGCTCTCTGTCCCTCTCTCCTCCCCGCTCAGCGGCTATTCTCCCACTTTGCTGTTTCATAGCGAGCCACGGAGGAGGGAAGGAAGGGGAACCATGGATCCTCTGCTCACGGCTGCAGCAGATCCCCCCCCGCCACCCGTAGGCATTCCCTCCATAACACGCACATTTTCCCTTACATTCTAGGAGGAAAAAAGTGAGTGTTATGGTGCAAAAAATACAGTATTTATCTACTTGCACTTTGACGTGATTTCGAACTGCTAGGTTGGCAGGAGCAGGGACCGAGCAACGGGAGCTCACCCCGTCACGGGGATTCGAACCGCCGACCTTCTGATCGGCAAGCCCTAGGCTCTGTGGTTTAACCCACAGCGCCACCCGCGTCCCTCTGGTGGAATCTACACATATATTTGAAAACACTGTGGAAAAAACGTACATAAAGCGTAATACAGTGGTACCTCGGGTTAAAAACTTAATTCGTTCTGGAGGTTCGTTATTAACCTGAAACTGTTTTTAACCTGAGGTACCACTTTAGCTAATGGGGCCTCCTGCTGCTGCCGTGCCGCCGGAGCACAATTTCTGTTCTCATCCTGAAGCAAAGTTCTTAACCTGGGGTACTATTTCTGGGTTAGCGGAGTCTGTAACCTGAAGTGTATATAACCTGAGGTACCACTGTATTTGCAGCTGTATCCTCTGAGTCTGGTTACAGCTTTCTGAGTCCTCTGTCTCGTTGCAGCTTTCTGAAGGTCTGAAGTCTTGCTCAGTCTCTGATGAAGAAATTGTCCAAACCATGAGACGCTGCTGGGAGGACAACCGCTATCTCCTGTGTCCCCATTCCGCCACTGCTGTTTGCTACCATTATAAGCGCTCCAGTTGCCATCCAAGCATGTAAGCATGAATTTGTCTGCACGCTTTAGTAGCTTCCTTATTACAGAATTATATATATTATAGAATATTGTTAGTATTATTATAATATACTAAAGCATGCAAATGAATATAGCAATTTAAAAAATATATTTATTATTTATTAATTGCATAAATAAATTATATTGCAGCTATAATAAGATTAATAAAATCATAGTATTAACAACAACAACAACCTGTGCTTTTTGTTTCTTACCAGTATAATACCCATCCTGAGAACATAAAATGATGTTGATAAAAAGGTGCTAACCTTTAAAGCCTTAAAATACCTGAGTCCTGCATACCTGAAGGAGCGTCTCCACCCCCATCATCATCCCGGACACTGAGGTCCAGCACTGAGCGCTTTCTGGCGGTTCCCTCGCTGCGAGAAGTGAAGTTACAGGGAACCAGGCAGAGGGCCTTCCCAGTGGTGGCACCCGCCCTTTGGAACGCCCTCCCAGCAGATGTCAAGGCAACAAACAACTATTTTACTTTTAAAAGACAACAGAAGGCGGCCCTGTTTAGGGAAGTTTTTAATGTCTGATGCTGTATTGTTTTTAATATTCGGTTGGAAGCCGCCCAGTGTGGCTGGGGAAACCCAGCCAGATGGGTGGGGTATAAATAATAAATTATTATTATTATTATTATTATTATTATTATTATTATCCACTCTCCCACCTGCAGCATGGGAGATAATACTGTAAATTTAGCTTGTAGTTATTTATCTCCTTGACATCTGATGGGAGGGCGTTCCACAGGGCGGGCGCCACTACCAAGAAGGCCCTCTGTCTGGTTCCCTGTAGTTTCCCATCCCTCGGAGCTGAACCTCAGTGTCTGGGCTGAACGATGGTGGTGGAGACGCTCCTTCAGGTATACAGGGCCAAAGCTGTTTAGGGCGCAATATGTGAAGGGACCCACAAGGATTTGAAGATCAACAAATTTACTGTGGCAAGAGCATTCTTTGAGATGGAACCCATTCAGTCCTGTCCAAATTTCAGAGATGTTTTGAGGTTTGAGATGTGCTCATTTCCTCTTTTCTTCCGCTCCAGTTCCAGGTGTTGCTTGGCTCCTGCCTCCCCTGTGAAGTTTGAAAATGCCGTTCTTAAAGCCGATCTCACCCTCGACATCTCGCCTGAGATACGGAAGCTGAAAGACATGGAGACCAGATCTTGTGCCCTGAAGAGAGGCGATGACTGGGCAAAACTACTGCGGCAGCAAATAGAAGCAGTTGCGAAACAGAGAAATCCTACGCCAAGCTGAACATTTGCAACGAGTCCCCTAGTTGATTGCGCCATCGAAGTCTCCTACTGTTACGCAAGGCATATGATAAGAGAGTTGGTGCTGCTTTCGCTAATGAATAAAGCATAGTTGTGTCACAGTTCTTGCAGAATCACCATCAACAACAACAATAGTACAGTCATACCTCGTGTTGCGTTTGCTTCAGGTTGAGTGTTTTCAGGTTGTGTCCCGCGGCGACCCAGAAGTACCGGAAAGGGTTACTTCTGGATTTCGCTGCTTGCGCATGCGCAGGCGTGCAAAATGACGTCACGCACATGCGCAAAACCAGCGAATCGCAACACGCACAGACTCGGGTTGCGTTCTGCTCAGGTTCCGGAACGGATCCCATTTGCAACCAGAGGTACCACTGTAATAATAAATTTATACCCCACCCATCTGGCTGGGTTTCCCCAGCCACTCTGGACAGCTCCCAAGGGAATATTAAAAAACCAAATCATTATACATTCTACATTTCATAGCATTTCCATTTTCCATTTCAATTCATAGTAATAACAATAATTTATTATTTATACCCCACCCATCTGGCTGGGTATCCTCAGTCACTCTGGGTGGCTCTGAACAGAATATTAAAAACACCAAACATTAAAAACTTCTCTAAACAGGGCTGCCTTCAGATGTCTTCTAAAAGTCAAATAGTTGTTTATTTCCTTGACATCTGACAGGAGGGTGTTCCACAGGGCGGGCGCCACTACCGAGAAGGCCCTCTGTCTGGTTCCCTGTAACCTCACTTCTCACAGTGAGGGAACCACCAGAAGGCCCTCGGCGATGGACCTCGGTGTCTGGGGGGCTGAACGATGGGGGTGGAGATGCTCCTTCAGGTATACTGGGCCTGTTACCAGCTAAAAGCGATGAGCAATTGTTGTTGGCATCCGTCTGCCTCGAGAGACAATGGAGTGCACTTCTGGGGGTGAAATCAAACTGCTGGAGAATCACAGTGCCTGCTGTGATTGCGGAGACCAGTAGCTTGTAACTACTGTTTCTGCTATGGAAGTGAGAGCTGGACCATAAAGAAGGCTGATCGCCAAAGAATTGATGCTTTTGAATTATGGTGCTGGAGGAGACTCTTGAGAGTCCCATGGACTTCAGTGCTCACTGGAAGGACAGATCCTGAAGCTGAGGCTCCAAGACTTTGGCCACCTCATGAGAAGAGAAGACTCCCTGGAAAAGACCCTGATGTTGGGAAAGATGGAGGGCACAAGGAGAAGGGGACAGCAGAGGACGAGATGGTTGGACAGTGTTCTCAAAGCTACCAGCATGGGTTTGACCAAACTGCGGGAGGCAGTGGAAGACAGGAGTGCCTGGCGTGCTCTGGTCCATGGGGTCACAAAGAGTCGGACACGACTAAACAACAACATTGTTTCTGCTACATTAGCTGAACAGAAGTGATCTCCCCAGGGCGCATGCCTGGGCAGTGTGTCTGGAGGTCCTGGGCTGCCCAGATGACAAGACCCCTCTCTTGGCCTCACTGATGGGGTCCAAAGGAAAGCAGAGCAAAACATTTGGCACCAGCTTGGCTGCAGGAGTTGACGGAAGGAGGCGTAAAAGGCGCCATCCAACCACCATAGGGACTCCACTCCTGAGGTGGATTAGACTGAGAAAGAGTGACCAGCCCAAGATCACATAGTGAGCTTTGTGTCAGTCATTGGGATAAACTGTGATGGTTTCTCTTCTGCACATCCTGGTACAGTTTCAGAACCAGCAGCAAAACCATAAAAGCATAAGGGTACCATAGATGTCAGCATCTTAAAAAGCAGAGACATCACCTTGCCGACAAAGGTCCGTATAGTGAAAGCTATGGTTTTCCCAGTAGTGATGTATGGAAGTGAGAGCTGGACCATAAAGAAGGCTGATCGCCGAAGAATTGATGCTTTTGAATTATGGTGCTGAAGGAGACTCTTGAGAGTCCCATGGACTTCAGTGCTCACTGGAAGGACAGATCCTGAAGCTGAGGCTCCAAGACTTTGGCCACCTCATGAGAAGAGAAGACTCCCTGGAAAAGACCCTGATGTTGGGAAAGATGGAGGGCACAAGGAGAAGGGGACAGACAGAGGACAAGATGGTTGGACAGTGTTCTCAAAGCTACCAGCATGGGTTTGACCAAACTGCGGGAGGCAGTGGAAGACAGGAGTGCCTGGCGTGCTCTGGTCCATGGGGTCACAAAGAGTCGGACACGACTAAACAACAACATTGTTTCTGCTACATTAGCTGAACAGAAGTGATCTCCCCAGGGCGCATGCCTGGGCAGTGTGTCTGGAGGTCCTGGGCTGCCCAGATGACAAGACCCCTCTCTTGGCCTCACTGATGGGGTCCAAAGGAAAGCAGAGCAAAACGTTTGGCACCAGCTTGGCTGCAGGAGTTGACGGAAGGAGGCGTAAAAGGCGCCATCCAACCACCATAGGGACTCCACTCCTGAGGTGGATTAGACTGAGAAAGAGTGACCAGCCCAAGATCACATAGTGAGCTTTGTGTCAGTCATTGGGATAAACTGTGATGGTTTCTCTTCTGCACATCCTGGTACAGTTTCAGAACCAGCAGCAAAACCATAAAAGCATAAGGGTACCATAGATGTCAGCATCTTAAAAGCAGAGACATCACCTTGCCGACAAAGGTCCGTATAGTGAAAGCTATGGTTTTCCCAGTAGTGATGTATGGAAGTGAGAGCTGGACCATAAAGAAGGCTGATCGCCGAAGAATTGATGCTTTTGAATTCTGGTGCTGGAGGAGACTCTTGAGAGTCCCATGGACTGCAAGAAGATCAAACCTATCCATTCTTAAGGAAATCAGCCCTGAGTGCTCACTGGAAGGACAGATCCTGAAGCTGAGGCTCCAAGACTTTGGCCACCTCATGAGAAGAGAAGACTCCCTGGAAAAGACCCTGATGTTGGGAAAGATGGAGGGCACAAGGAGAAGGGGACGACAGAGGACAAGATGGTTGGACAGTGTTCTCGAAGCTACCAGCATGAGTTTGTCCAAACTGCGGGAGGCAGTGGAAGACAGGAGTGCCTGGCGTGCTCTGACCCATGGCGTCACCAAGAGTCGGACACGACTAAACGACTAAACAACAACAAAGCATAAATGTAAGGGTGGCATCTTGCCACAAGAGGGCAGAGCCACCTAAGCTTTGATTTGTTTAAAGGCTCTTCTGATCCTAACTGAAATGATTCAAGAACACTCACTTCCTTTGGTCTGAATTAGAAGCAAGTAAAAACACGGAGCCAAGTCTCTGCAATACCTTCTGCTTCTTGCGTGGTTGGCAAGGAATTTGGTTCCGTTCACATTTTAATACTAGCCAACCTAATATGCAGTTTGCAAAACGATATATGGATTGAAATGCTGCCCTCCTTTGATGCTTGCACTTCTGCAGATTTTGTGGCACAGTTCCACTAAAATAAAGCACAAAAATGAATGTACAGTGGTACCTCTGGTTACGTACTTAATTCGTTCCGGAGGTCCGTTCTTAACCTGAAGCACCACTTTAGCTAATGGGGCCTCCTGCTGCTGCTGCGCCGCCGGAGCACGATTTCTGTTCTCATCCTGAAGCAAAGTTCTTAACCTGAAGCACTATTTCTGGGTTAGCGGAGTCTGTAACCTGAAGCGTATGTAACCTGAAGCATATGTAACCCGAGGTACCACTGTATTGAATGGAAGGGTGCATGAAAATACACATATTAGAAAAAGCAACGTACCAAAATACAGCCATACCTCGGGATAAATATGCTTCAGGATAAGTATTTTCGGGTTTCGCTCCGCGGCAACCCGGAAGTAACGGAGCGCGTTACTTCCGGGTTTTGCCACTCGCGTATGCACAGGCGGTCAAAATGACGTCACGCGCATGTGCGGAAGCGGCGAAACGCGACCCGCACACGCGCAGACACGCTGTCACGTCTTACATTCTGTTCGGGGCTCCGGAACAGATCCCGTTCGCATCCCGAGGTACCACTGTAATGCATTGGGTAGGTGAAAATTGCTTGCGAAATATGTATATTAGCAAATTTGCATACAAAAATGTGTCTTATCAGGAGAAATGCACATTGGATGCTGGCAATTTTTGCCAGGATGTAAAAATATAATACAGTAATCACAAACGGATGCTGAAATATGGTGAACTGACATTATTATTATTATTACTATTATTATTATTATTATTATTATTATTATTATATATGCCACTCATCTGACTGGGTTACGCCAGCCACTCTGGGTGGCTTGCAACAATGTCTTCTAAAAGTCAGATAGCTGTTTTATTTCCTTGACATCTGATACGAGGGCATTCCACAGGGCGGGTGCCACCACAGAGAAGGCCCTGGTTCCCTGTAGCTTTGCTTCTCGCACTGAGGAAACCGCCACAAGGTCCTCGGAGCTGGACCTCAGTGTCTGAGCTGGACGATGGGGGTGGAGACACTCCTTCAGGTCTACAGGGCCGAGGCCGTTTAGGGCTTTAAAGGTCAGCACCAACACTTTGAATTGTGCTCGGAAATGTACTGGGAGCCAATGTAGGTCTTTCAGGACTAGTGTTACAGCATATGGTCTCGGAGGCCACTCCTAGTCACCAATCTGCCAGCCACATCAAGTGAAATACAGTGGTACCTCAGGTTACATACGCTCCAGGTTACAGACTCCGCTAACCCAGAAATAGTACCTCAGGTTAAGAACTTTGATTCAGGATGAGAACAGAAATCGTGCTCCGATGGTACGGAGGCAGCAGGAGGCCCCATTAGCTAAAGTGGTGCTTCAGGTTAAGAACAGTTTCAGGTTAAGAACGGACCTCCGGAACGAATTAAGTACTTAACCCGAGGTACCACTGTAATGTGCTTGTGCTCCTGCAGAAAGACAAAATAACTCAAAAATAATAAATATGCTTTCCTTGTGGAGGGGGTGAGCTTTGGGCAGAGGAGAGCAATGCTATAGAGCAGGGGTGGAGGTTAGTAAACGAAAGGAGTTAATATTAGAAATATGAATTTGGAGAACTGTTATACAGGTGACATAATGAAATTCAGAGGGGATTCGAGGAAGTCGGTTATCAATGTAATGAGAACTAGGTATTTGAAGAAACAATTTTTTTGTGTGTGTTTAGTATATTGTAGTGTA